AATGGGAAGATTACAATGGACCTCACTTCCTCTAAAACGCTCTCTAGATGCTACAACAATAGCCACCTAGCTTCTAAGCACTACAACAATAGTTACTTAGAGATACAGAATGAAAAACCTSACAAGAATCGCGAGAACGGACTGCCRASGATGCTTTACAGGCCAAGATCTCGTTTTTCTCTCTTCCTCTGYGGGCAAAAATGGCYGCCACCACTGCTTCTATATTTCACCACCTTTTTTGCTTCAGCAACCGCTCACATATATATATAAAGAAGAAAAGGGAAAYTTAACGRAGAAGGAAAAACTAAAGTTGGGCCKTATTTTTTGTTTGCTTGGCCCAACAACATTTAATAATTTTCTTTCTTTTGTCTCCACTTTTCCCAACAATCTCCCACTTGKAGACAAAACATCAATCTCGCCTCCCACTGCAACAACAGTGTCGRTCTTCTTGGCAAACAACCAAGGTTCCATCTGTACTTGCCCTTAGACTGGGCAACCTACGTGGTCTTGTCTCCCARACGTAAAAGACACARCYACGTRCTCCCACTCGAACTAAGTGGTACCTCCCAAMGCTTCCTTCTTCGATCGTGRCCAACGACTCCCAAAGAAAGAATTCTTCTTCGATGAMTTGACACTCCCACTTAAGTYTGTTACYAAGCTAGAGACTTCARCCTCGACCTCAGCACCAACTGTAGTCTTCCTCTTCGATGCATCTTTTCGCCTATGCGACTTCATCAATTCGTTGAACCGTCTRAYAACTGGGGCTATCACCTSACAACCAACTAAACTCTTTTTCTTTTCCTTATCCTTGYCTCCCRATTGTTGAACATGAACTGATGGATCTATCTTGGTTGTCAATGCTGTTGGTTTTATCCCGTCTCCATCTAAACCATTTGCAGCTCTATGCATCCTCTGTCTCTCTGATCCTTTGGCAACATCAAACCTCACTGTGTACACTGTAGATGTCCTGTGGCCAACAACCASCARCTCGGATCCTCTAGTGAGTTTCCACATATTTCCAGCAAACTCACTTCTGTAMCCATCGTCATCCAACTTCCCTRCAGATATTAAATTCATTCTGATGCTGGGTACATACCTRACATCTCGCARAACCAACTCAGTCCCACTATCGGTCTTCAGACTGATATTTCCAATTCCTCTAGTCTTGGAGAGCCTACCATTTCCCATCCTCACCATGCCATAGTTTTCTGCAGTGAAAGATGTGAACAACCTCCTATCTGAAGAGATGTGTACTGAAGCTACACTGTCTACTATCCATTCTGGTGACTGGTCCACCGACATTGTGTTACTCTCAACACACACAAGAGCATCATGCACAACTGCATTTGCATTTGCATCCAGCTTTTTCAGATCCTCTTTCAATTTTCTACAGTGCCTCTTATAGTGGCCCTTCTTGTGGCAGTAATAACATTCAATCTCACCATTCCCATTTTTCCTGCTATTTCTATGTTGTCTGTCATCATACTCAACCTTTTCTTTACCTCTCTGAACAGCTAATGCTGAGCCAGATGCAGAACTAGAAGTGGATTCTTTTCCACTCTCTTTCCTGCGAATTTCCTCAGCAGTTGCAGCATCACAAATTTCTGTAAATTTTAAACTCTTATCTCCTAATGAATTAGACACAGCTGTCTTCATTGTTTCCCAACTTTCAGGCAAAGAAGTCAACAATAAAATAGCATTCACCTCATCACTAAATGTAATCTTCAGAGACGCTAACTGATTGATTAAATTAGTGACTTCATTTATATGGGAATTCACAGAAGCATTCTCATCCATACGAATGTTAAAATATCTTCTAACAAGATATACCTTATTATTGGCAGATGGTTTTTCATACCTGTTCGTCAGTGCATTCATCAGACCTATCGCCGTTGTCTCATTTGCCACGAGACTCGCTACATTCATTGATAGACACAACCTGATAATTGCAACTGCCTGTTCATTCATATCTTCCCAATCTTCAAGCTTCATTCCAGCTGGTCGTTCCTTCAACGCTTTGTGCACCTTTTTGCAGGTTAAGTAATCCTTAATCTGCATTTTCCAATACCCAAAGTYGGCTCCATCGAACCTCATAATTCCTTCGAAACTTGACTGCTCACCAATTCCCATGACTTTGAACCAAAAGCTCTCATACCAGTTGTTGGGAAAAAAAAATATATGCAGTAACAATAAAATATCTCTAGTTCTCAAGCAAGAGCAATCCAACAGGATCTAACTAGTATTTTTCCCCTTCCACAGTTATGAGCAA